AAAAAAAAAAAAAAAAAAAAAGAACAATGGACACCCGCTCGGCAGTCACTCGACCTGCTCCCCTATCAAATCGAAGCCGACGAGCAAAAACGAGACCCCCTGAAAAAGCAAGAAGTAGAAATGTATCCCCTGAGCCGATAACAAACTCCTGGCGGCTGCTGTTAGCAAAAGAAAAGCCAAAGCCAGTTCCTTTGTGTAAATCCTATTATGCTTCTTCTTCTTCTTCATCTTCATATCCTTCTTCTGATGAATGATCTGATCAAGGTTGCCCGGTTCGGAGCTCGCCCTCTGGCTCTGGTGGTGTGGGCCCACCAAAGATGCAATGTCTCCTTCAGACGAGCGGCCAGACTTCTTCGTGACGACCCATTCATAGGCGCTGCCAAGCTGGAAGAGTCCCGATACCATGGCGTTGAACTTTGTGACCGACATTGTGTTCTCGAAAAGGAGATATGGGACTATGAATGGGAAGGATTTTGGGGCAGGGAGAATGTTGAGAAAAGACATGGCTGCTGGGATATAGCACACGACCCATGCGGGGAGGGTTGCCTCGGGAACAAACATTGTCATGGGAAGGATTATGCAGAAGAGGGTAAAAGAGTAAAAGGGGAGGATGAGCTTGCGGAGAAGGAAGAAGAGGAATATCATGTTACACTTCTTCCATATGCTTATCTGCCCATTTTTTCATTGTAATTAGTAACTACAATTAGAATCTTGATTTGTTCATTCATATTTCATCAATCAAATTCAAATCAGTACCTTTGCTTTGATGACAGCTGGCAAACACAACCGGAACAGCTGCATCGGCCCGGAATGCCATCTGTGCTGTTGTTTTCTGTACGCTTCGTAAGATTCCGGAAGCTCGCATTGGCACTGGAAATTAATATCCCGGATAATAATAAAATTAAAATCACTTCACAACAGACTAATATTTAATTTAGAAGTAATCTGAGATCAAATACCTCAACATCATTGAGGAAGATGAATTTCCAGCCATGGAGGTGGGCCCGGACAGCGATGTCCATATCCTCGACAGTTGTTCTCTCCATCCACCCGCCTGATTCTTCCAAGGCTTTTATTCTCCACACGCCAGCTGTACCGTTGAAACCGAAGAAGTTTAGGAAAATGCCGTTGACCTGCTGCTCGACTTCGAAATGGAAGGCTAGGTTGATGAGCTGGAGCCTAGTCAGCAGGTTCTCGTCCTTGTTCACGAACGACCACCTAGCCTGGACGAGCCCTAGTTTCTCATTGTCCTGTGATTACAAAAGCACAAGCATATATGACTTTTTTTTTCCTTCAGAAATATTTTTTTAATTGTTTTTCAAGTGGCAACTAACTTGCATAGTTCCAACAAAATCAAAACCCAAGGGAGATTAAGGTTCCTTATTGTAATCCTCAACTCTACTTCCTTTTTGACTTTACACACCAACAAAGCATATATACAAAACTTATTCACCAAACGCATTTGATAGAAACTACTGGTTCTCAACTACTTCTTACTTTTCTGTTTTTACCACAGTAAATCATTTCATGTAAAAGCCACACTCCCCTGATGCATTTCTTTCAAATCTAAATGAGTTAGCTACAAGACAACATTTACAAACCAATCTGGTTAAAACTTGGGTTTCTTGCAAAATTTTTACCTTGAAGTGAGGTACTGTTCTGTTAAGGAAATCCGGGTTCGGCTGGAAATCGGCATCGAAAATGGCGACAAACTCGTAATCCTTCACATAGCTACAATTCATGGCAGACTTAAGATTACCGGCTTTGTAACCCTCCCTAATCACCCTATGCCTGTAAACTATATTGGCACCATTCTCCTGCCATTTGTGCACCTCCTCCTTAATAAGCATCTGAGCTGTTGGATCATCCGAATCATCCAATATCTGAATCAGCAGTCTCCCTTTAGGCCAGTCCAAGTTACACACGGCCGCAATCGATTGTTGATAAACCTATCGAAATTTCCCCCATAAAAAAATGGAAATTAAAATTAGAATACCAATCAATTCAAGCCACTAGTAACTCAGCAAAACCTGCAAAACCCAATAAAAACTTATGCTTCATAAAGCTTTCATAATCCAATAACCAGCACCAAACACCACCTCAATCCACAACACTAATTCAATAGCAACTCGACCGATAAATTGCTTGTTTTTCATAATTCACCTAAATTATTATGAACAGAGAGAAATGCTAAAAATGTAGCATAAATGAAAAGGAGAGGTCTTTACCTCTTTCTCATTGCACATGGGGATTTGAACCAAAACCATGGGGAAATAGCCATCTCCATCTCCGGATTCAAGATCTGTAAGGCCCTGTTTGGGGACGGGCTTGATATTCCATACCTTAATCCAGAGGCAGCCCAAACACAAGATTAGCCTATCCAGGCTCTGGATTAGGAACAGCAATATGCACACATTGGTCAGCAACTGTAGTGGGGGAGCAAGATACTCAACCCTGATCAGAACCCACTTGGAATAGAGCAAGCCAAACACATCCTTAACAGCAAAACCATGGGCCAGGGCATAAAACCGGTCGAGCTGAAAATCCTGGGACCCAAAGTGCCAACCCCGGAAATACGCCGCCATCTCGAAGCCCAGCAGAATCAGGGACAGCCAGAGCGCGATCTTGATGCAGGCGTAGAATCTGGACTTAACTGCTGGGTTCTCCGCCACCGGCGAGTCGGAGGAGTCCGTGCGGCCGGAGGCGACGCGGCGGCGGACGGCGGAAACGAGGGAGAGGGAGGCGGCCGCGATGGAGGCGAGGCAGCCGGCGGCGCGGTGGGCCTTGAGGAGGATGACCCAGGTGAGCTGCTTGGCGTTCTTGTTCCGGCCGCCCTTGGGGACGGCGGCGGCGTCGTTT